CCCCAAAACCCCAAAACCCCAAAACCCCAAAACCCCTAAAAGCATTGGAAATATTGAAGCATAACTTTGGTAAAATCAAACTATTTGGCAATTTATGCCTTTAAAAGCTCCTCTAATGATGCAGGGTATGAGGTGAGACCTGAGATAGGAAGACCAAGGTACTTCAAATGGTCATCCACACTATCATTAAGTGCATTTGAGTTGGAGCAAGTTGGATCCTCACCCTCTTTAGTACTACATTGAGTGTAGCTAGAAGAATCTTCGTTATACCAAATTTCTTGAGGAGCGTGATAGGGGTAGAATGGGAGAATACCACTTTCTGTGCAACCGTCATGAAGATCTGTAATACATGGAGGAATATGAGCAACAATATCCTTGGAATGGGTCACCCTGTAGAATCCTGATACCTTGCTAGCGAATCCATCGATAAACTTATGATCACCTACCCTTGGTTGCCCGAAGGAGTAGATCTGAACTTTTCTGTTTGTGTCTATTCCAGAAAGGATGAAATCAGCAGCGGCGTGTACAGTCATTGCACCTCCAAGAGAATGCCCTGTGAAAGTAATTCCATAACTAGGATTTCCCTTGATGATCTCCTTAATTTTCTGCAAGAATGGATCTCTGAAATCGTCAAGATAGCGTTGATAGAAGTAGTCCATGACCTTGGCTTCTCCAATCTCGGGGTGAATCTCATAGCTCCTAGGAAAAGACTCAGCAATTTCAGCGATCAGCTGTGAAGTCTCTCTGGTTCCAGAGAATCCTACAAAGTATTGTTTGTCGTTGTCAGACTTGAGAACAGCCATAGTTATGGAGTTGACGCTCTTACCATTATCCATGGCATATTCGACATCCATCTTATAGGTATTCCTAACTTGGTCTGTAGCTTTCCCACACTTGTCATTCACGATCTGGTCAGCTTGGCAGTAAGAGAGGCCTGATACATAGACCATTTTGGTCGCAAAAGATGCATCATATCCACAACTTGCAGTACTCATGAAGAGGATGAGCCCGATTAGGAAGATTTGAACCTTCATTTTTATTATTAGTGATGAGGTGGCAAGTTGGGGTTTTGGGGTTTTGGGGTTTTGGGGTTTTGGGG